AGCCCGTGAGATTTGAACCTCCGAACTGCAGATAACAGTCAGCTGAAGTGGCCTGCAGTACTGCACCCTAACCACTTGTGCCACCTCGGCTCAATTAATCCACCTGGTGGATTAATTAAGTTTTCAATTAATCCACCAAATCCATACTAGTAGTACCTTCTTCATCAGAGGATAAGGTGGTGTCTCCACATTCCTCTTTAACTTCCCTGAGGATTTTAAGGTATCGCCGATGCGTCCGTCTATCTCGTTCTTCAGCAGCATAAGCAGCTGCTGAGTATTTTCTCTTGACAGCCAGATCCGATCCCCCCTTCTTAGCGAGTTCTAACAGATGCTGAAACAGACACCGTGAAAAAGGAAACTTCAGATTATTTATTACAGGTAAATCTGCAGTTCTAGCTTTACTGTTCTTGAGATCTAGGGTTCTACGAGGCAACAAGTGATCAAGACACAGAGCTTAAGATTTACACTACCCCCCCACAATTGTACTTTCCAATACTTACATTCCGGGAGGCAAGAATCTGTTTCAGCAATCGATAAAAATACTGCTGCTGGGAACTGAGGTAGCGCTTATACTGGGACTTGAAGCAAAGCTGTCTGTACTTCACTACTTCAGGATTGAAATGTCCATCTATAAGAAGAACATTCACGTTGTTCCTTTATTTTGTTTAATCCTACCAACCAGTGGAGAAAAGGCTGTATTACAAAGAAAACTGGCAATTTTTAAGGATCCTAAGCATACTTCAAAATTTCTGCATATGTAAAGCAAAGGGCCAAAGTGACTTGAGGTTTCTCCAGATGAGATCTCCCATCCTGTAGAAGAGCTAGATTCATCAGCACTGTTGTTGAAAAGGGCTGGGCTATTTTGGGAGGCAGTCTTGTTTTGTTGGGTTTTGAGGAAAGAGATAGGAATTCTCCCATTCCCATCGTAAAAATCACCAATAAATTCCAAGGAATGTGCCAAACATTCTGGTGCTGAAATATGGACATTTTATCATTTTAAATATGTCAGCAATATGGCTTTAGAGATACACATGACTGCTCACTATCAGTGTAAGCGTCAACATATGGGACTCGGTAGCTCCAAGTTTAAGTCCACAAACTTTTTCAGCCAACCTTCACAAACAGGGTGTCAAAATAGCGCTACTGACAATGTGATTAAAACACCAACTGTTTTTATGTGTGTGCCAGAGTGTTTCTGATGGAAATAAAATTCAGTGAGAGTTCTCATAAAAGCCATCTTGAACTCTTGGAATAAAGATGACACATTGTAATAACAAGCAGCATATATCCGGGATGGCGAACCTATGGCACGCGCACCACAGGTGGCACGTGGAGCCATTTGTCAGGGCACGCGAGGCGCTGTCCTGTCAGCAGGCCAGCACGCATGTGCACGCTGGCCAGCTGAGTTCACCCTTTTTAAAGCCATTTTTTGCCCTCCCCAGGCTCCAGAGGCTTTATATGAGCCTGGGGAGGGCGAAATGAGCCTCCCCCACCCCCCAGGAGGTCCTCCGGATGCTTCATGAGCTTCCCTTAAGCCTCTGGAGCGCAAAAAACTGGCCCTATGGGCAAACCGGAAGTTCGGGAACGGACTTCCGGTTTGCTTGGAAGGTCATTTTAAGTGCTCCCGAGGCTTCAGGGAAGGTCCTTGAAGCCCCCAGAGGGCCTCCAGGGAGGTGGGGGGAGACTTTTTTCGACCTCCCCAGGTCCCTATAAAGCCTCTAGAGCCTGGGGAGGGCAAAAAAAGGATGCAAAAAATGGGGGGGGGGAATGTCGCACCTGTAGTGCGTGCATGCGCCCTTGGGGGTGTCTTGCATTGCATTATGGGTGCAGCACGCCTGCGCACAACCCCCCTGCGCCTCCCCCACTTATGGCACGTGAGCCAATAAAGGTTCGCCATTGCTGGAATATATCATCTGGACGTAGATTACCTGGAAAGCCTTGAAACATGAAGCAATTATGTTCAACCTTACGCAGCAGTTCATATAAAGGTTATTTTTCAGTTAATACCGTTACCCCAAAATAAGATCTCCCCAGATAATATGTCCAATCGGGCTTTAGAGCGCATGCACCAAAATAAGCCCTCCACGAAAATATTGCAAAACAGCTGCAGCCATGAGGAGATGGCTGCTGCTGTGTTGCAATATTTTCAGGGAGGGCTTATTTCGACACATGCGCTCGCCGTCTCTTGCACCTCAAAAATAATAAGACCTCCCTGAAAATAAGGTCAAGCGCTTATTTCGGGGGAGTTCAAAAGAAAATAAGACCCGTGTCTTATTTTTGGGGAAATACGGTAACAACTCATCATTTTGCATCTTTAATGATTCTGAAGCTAGATTTGTTCCAAAAGTGCTTTTTCAAGAGGCAACTGGACTTTCTTGTTTTTCTTTGAAGAGGTTTCGCTTCTTATCCAAGAAGCTTCTTTAATTGAGAGCACCTCTGGGACAACCATGACTTGGATGACTGAGAAACTCCATAGACATGATGCTAGATTTATTTATCGTCTATATTTATATAGCTGTCCCATATAAGAATGGTTCATAAGCAAGTGTTATTTTAACATGCAGTATAAAACAAGACAAGTTATTAAAGCTAAGCACAAAATTGAGTTCTAAAAACATATGTTGAAATGTCACTGACCCCGGAAGAGTTTTTGAGCAATATGAAGTGGGTTTCCAAATCGGAAGTTCTCTCCATTAAATAGGGACAGGATAAGATTATTCTGGAAATCGGGATTGTTTTCCGGGAAGCGGGGCAAAAACTTTTTTAAATGTTCTCGCTGTGAATCCACCAACACATCCTTCCAGGTTGAAAGACTGACAACTTCAAAAAAGATCTCAGGCTGCAGAAAATATAACACATGGAATAAAAGATAAGAAAAGCTTTTTCCCCCCTCATTTCTTTTTAAAAAAATATGCTGCTTATTCCCTTAGCAGCTCTGGAGAGTTTGCAAAGACACAATAAAATATTCATTAAAACATGACAAATATAAACCAAAACAGGAGTGGTAGAAGTACTGGTAAAATACATGTGAAAATATGTTTCGAACTCATTCCTAAGCAGTAGCTAGGAGAGGACTGCTTCAATAAGTTGATTCCACAGTATGAACCCCAAAATGGAGAAAACAGAATTGGTTCTTAATGGTCAACATTACCTGTGGCAGGATGCACAAAGGAGGAGTGGGAAGGAGGTAAGGTAAGATAGAGATTTGGTCATTAGGTTGAGCCTCTAATTTTGGCTGAGGGAAAGGTAGTACGGTATGCAAAATCCAGATTCAAACAACTTTCCCTTCTGAAAGCCAGAAGATTTTCTAAAGAACCTTTGGAACCATGGTTACTAATTTTGCAAAAAAAGAAAAGAAAAAAAAGCTACCACATTACTTTTCTGAATGATCAATTCAACAACAGTGTATTTACATTTTGGACATTATTTATAAATAAAGATTTTACATTTGTACCCTACCTGGATTTTTTAGAGGTACCAAAAGAGTCACCCAAACAGTCAAAGATTTATACTAAGGAAATAGACATTTGATCTCTTTTTTTATTATTCAAGCGATTATTCTTATGCCTGACCCATTTCCCTGAATTTGCAAGTGATTCTAAGAATGAAACACAACTTAGACAAGAGGAAGGAAGTGATACTCATTCAATAAATGATCCTGATCCAACTACTGGTATACAAAAAATGTTTATTTCCTAAAATTACAGAACATGTCATGATTTACATGTCACGATGGTTAAGGCTGGCGACACAGGAAATCACGTCGGGGTCACCAAATGTAACGTTCCCGTGGTTCGCCCATGAGGCCAATGTTGAGAAAAGACAGGAGACCACCTTTCTCGGGATGGAGCGACCCAGATTGGGGGTCTGAGAGCCCCTTTTATTGCGATAGGACAAAGGCAGGAGGAGCAATAGCATGTGAGTAAAAACAGCAGTACAATTTCTAATCTACTGCTCAGGAAAGTTCTGTCTATATATGGTTAAATCCTGGACG